ATTATTTAACAACACACTGAAACATGCAATGTCTAATATACTGAGAAATAGAAATAAAAGCCATCTCTTTAAGAGAGCAAGTTATTCTGGGATAAATTTACTAAGGAAGGAAAACACAAGCAGACACTGAGTACAGAACTCTACTGTATTGAAATTTTTATGTATCCAATCCCTGATAATTCCTACAAATTAATATAATTATATCTGAGCCCATAAGGACCTTGTAGTATAAAAGAAATACCATAGACATAAAGAATATATTGAAATATGAGACTACCCAGATTCAAGAAGTACATGACTTAAGTCTACAAAATATTCCATGTAAGTATGTACTTTCAGTAAAAGTCCATACTCTCAGGTTGGAAAGACTGGCTCCTTTGCTAACTAGTGTCTAATCTTGGACAATCTACTTAATCTGTGCCTCAATTACCTATGTTAATGCTATTATCACATGAGTATATGAGTAAAATGAGATAAGTATACAATGCCATTATCACTATAGCTGGCATACATTTTACTCTCAAAATTATTCACTGTCACCATTACCATTCTATTACTAAAGAAGTCTTATAAGACAGAACACTTGCTTCTCATACATGTGCCTGTAAGAGTCAGAGATAGAGAGTAAAGGCATGTGCTGTATACATGGATGAATATATTAATCTGGGAAGGAATAGAGCCCTCACTCCTTCCAGATGTCAAATATTAATAAAAACCCATCAGAAACTTTTAATAAAACCAACCCACCACAATAACCAACTCAAACAAACAAACAAACAAAATATCCTTCCAGTGACATCAGGACAGAGAAAGGTAGGTTTACTACTCCAAGTGGCCTGTCCAGTCATCCAAAGGACAGGTTATAATAGCCAGGGAAAGTAACTGTGAATTGAACTCAATAATCTGGAATTATCAGAGTCCACATCTGTTATGCCCTACATTTTGTTTTGTTTATCCCAAGTAGGTTACTTTGCTCACCTGCTTGTTTTTATTTGGAGGTGAAGAAAGGTAACACATAGAATGCTAACATATTTCATTCTACAGAAAACTCATGAAGCTTAAGCATCTAGAACATAATTGAGCCATGACTTAAATGTATGTGTCTGATTTTAGTACTAAAACCCCAAGCAATATAACATATTGCCTTTTATGGCAAGCTAAGAGCAAGAAGGGGAAGAAATCATGGTTAGCTTACATGCATGTGCTAGGACAATCAGATGATAACAAAAATTTTCGCCAAGCGTTTGTGGCACACGTCTTTAATCCCAGCACTCGGGAGGCAGAGGCAGGCGGATCTTTGAGAGTTCGGGCCAGCCTGGTCTCCAGAGCGAGTGCCAGGGTAGGCTGCAAAGCTATACAGAGAAACCCTGTCTCGAAAAACCAAAAAAAAAAAAAAAAAAAAAAAAAAAAAAATTCAAGAATTGAACTTATGAAAACTATATTCCAGCAATCAGATGACAAACTGATACAAAAGAGAATACAAATCAAATCCTACAACAGAATGAACTAAAAGATTGTAGCATTGTATACAAAATATTTAATTTTACTATAAGCTTGTCAGCCCCTTGTGAAATAATATTTTTTTTTACTTCTTTCTTCACTTTTCAGGATGGTAGAGAGAAAATGAGCCATAGAAAGCAATAAATACATTAACTGGTACTCTGTGATCTCTAGAAAGTAGATCTTATTGTCATCACTGCTTTAATAATTTGGCACTAATTTTAAAGATCAAGCTAACTATTCAGGTTCCTTCAGTAAAATTTCCAAGTTTAACAGCCAACAGTCCTTAGTGATATTGAGCCAGGAAACATATTCTCTGCATCTGGACTATTAGGGAAAGAAAGCAGGTAATTTACAGATTACAGATAGGAAGATTTGAAATTTCTCCTTTGGTCAGTTAAATAAAGTAATTTAGTTTTAGGACTCACAGTCAACTCGCATACCCACTAACATGCTGTTTAGTTGGCATATATCACATACTTTGTTTCTGTGCATTAAGCATGAATAAAAATAATACTAATTTGTTTGTTTTAGAAACAAAGGAAATATTTGCATAGCTATATTTTTTACTTATACGCAAGACTTAAGAAAAGTCTCATCTCCCTGAGATCCAAAGAAACCAGTAACATGAAATATATGTTCTATGTATTTATCTTCACTCAAAAGAGAAAATAAAAATGGAAAACTTGCACAGTAATTCAGGTTAAGTCTAAATCAACTAGTCAAATCTTTAACAGTCATATCTGCTAAAAATATAGAAATTGGTTCTTCTTAATGACATCTTTAATCACTAGCAAGAGGGCTGGCCCTGAAAGAAACAAGAATACAGTATATTCCTTATGTGTACATTTAGCTATCCTCATTAAATGCTCAACTCTTCTTCCAAAGACAACATGCTACAATTTACTGAAACTAGTGACTCCAAAGCCCTAGCTTTTACTATAAACAGAGACATTTGTCACTTTGAGTGTGTGTGATCTTATCTATTCCTTATTAAAGCTTTAATCAGAAGTACCACAACTGACAGTTGACAAAAGCCTGGTCAGTCACAAATGCCCGAAGTCATATGTAGCAGAGGCAGCTGTGAGTCCAGGTTGGCTTGACTTCCAAGAAATGAAATTCTAAAATACTGGCTCATCTTATTTTTAAATAATAAAAATGGCCATAAATTTTCCATGTGTATACTCTCTTATAAAGTTGTAACACCAAAATAGAACACATTTTAAAGCAACATAATATTAAAGTTAAGGAAGAAATTTGTTTTTTTTTGTTTGTTTGTTTAAAAGATTTTATTTATTTATTATGTACACAACATTCTGCTTCCATGTATATCTGCACACCAGAAGAGGGCACCAGATTTCATAACAGACGGTTGTGAACCACCATGTGGTTGCTGGGAATTGAGCTCAGGACCTCTGGAAGAGCAGCCACTGCTCTTAACCTCTGAGCCATTTCTCCAGCCCGGAAGAAAAGAAATTTATCAGAATTTTCTAAACTCAAAATAAGGAAGGAAAAGATCATTGATCATTGGTATCAAGAAAAATGTTCTCATGGCATACTAGAAACTGGTTTTTCTTCTTTTGTGAACCTATGTGTTTTATGGCTGTTAAAAAATTAAACAGGTGTTTCAACTCTAAATGTGTGAAGCTCACATAACAAGTACAGACAAGTACTTGAATAAGCACAAATATTCTTAGGTCACTTAAAGGATGGTATAATGACTACAGAACTTTACCTTTGCTTTGCCATGTCACTTTGCCATAGTAGTAAGGTAGACTACTGGTATCTTTTAGTCTACTTATCACTTACAGAAGTAGTCAAAGATTAGCTTCAAATATATAAATATGGCCTCAACATTAATATCAGTTTCTGGATGCTTTCTATAATATAGATTCATAGTTACAAAATTCAAATGATTTTCAAATGGTTATATTATGAATCTGCTTAAATGATTTATAAGGACTATAAAAATTAACACTGACACTTTTAAACATTAGGGTCTTACAACTCAATGTTATTCTTAAAGTCATTCCAATAAGATAAATTTTAAAAATATTATTTATACAGCATATCCTAACAACAACAAAAAAATCAGGTGGGCATGAGGGTGCATGCCTTTAATCCCAGCACTTGGGAGTCAGAGGCAGTTGAATAACTATGAGTTCAAGGCAAGCCCTGGTCTACATAAAGAGTCCCAGGACAGAAAGCACTACACAGAGACCCTGTCTCAAAAAACAACAACAAAATCATGGTATAGTTTATGAAGCAGGGTATATTTTTATTTCAATTAAGAATATTTATTGTGATAAATACCTTTATACAAAAACAAACAAACAAAAAGAATACCTTTGTACAATTGAAGTGTTAGACAAAAACACTGTTCTAAATGTCTGTTTTAATTTTTACCACTCCACCAAATAGGGTCCATTTTTCAGTAACATACTTCATAATTCTTTATATTGAAGAACCAGCCTGTCTTCATTTTAGGCTTAAAAGCCATCTTATCGTAAAGACAAACTAGGTTTGTTCCTGTTTATAATTAAACTTCTGTTTCTCAAGGATTGGGCTATAACCCACCAGTAACCTTAACTACAAATGGTTCGGAACTGCCTGTTCTAGAAATGGCAATCATGTTTTTGTTTCAAAAAGTTGTTTACAGAGCTGACCTGAGCAAGTGGGAACTCAAAGACCCTAGTCTGACAGTTGGAGAACCTGCATAAGACTGCACCAGGCCCCCTGAACATGGGTGTCAATTGGGGGGCTTGGGAAGTCTATGGGGCCTCTGGCAGTTGGAACCAATATTTATTCCTAGTGCATGAATTGGCTTTTTAGAGCCTATTCCCTATGCAGGGATACTCTCTCAGCCTAGATACAGGGGGAATGGCCTCGGTCTTGCACCAAATGATGTGACAGACTTTGGTGATCCCCATGGGAGACCTCACTCTTCCCAAGGAGTAGATGAGGGTTGGGATGGGGAGATGGTGGGGGGCATGGAAGGATAGGAGGGAGAGGAAACTGGGATTGGTATGTAAAATAAAATTTTAATTTAAATAAAATATAAAAAAGTGTTTATGCTCCAAAAAAAAGTTGTTTAACCCTACCTTTGTTTCAAAAGGTTATATGACCTTTTATATGACCTTGTTATAACTACCTGTTATTATGACTATCTTGTTATGCCAACATTGCAACCATGTATTTGTTTCTGGAGGTCATTAGGATGTTGTTAGGATATTCTGCTCCTGTAACCCTGCCTATTTTGCCTGCCAAATTTTGGAAACCACTTACCCCTGAGCTATAAAAGCTTTGTCTTCCTCACATTCAATGCTGAACTCTCAAACCCCACCTTAGGTAGAAGCACTGATGTACAAGAATAAAAAGGCTTGCTTTGATTAATTTGGCCACAGTGATTTGGGTTGGTGGTTTTTTTCCTCCCATCTTTGGTATTATCACCAAGAATACTACTTAGACTTCCATGAGTAGTTAAACATCAGCTATCTTACCTTGTGCTGTTCAATGGCATCTATCCACTGCTGTCTGTGATCTGGGTCCTGAGCACGAAGATACCAAACACTATCATTAACACTGATATCAAACCGACATTCATCAAAATCATGAGGCTGGGGAAACAAAGAAGAAAGTGAAAAGCAAAGTTAATTATATTCTTAGAAGTGCAGTTCCCTTCAGCACAAAATGTGAGCACACTCTGAGAGACTCCTTTTACTTTTTAATTTTTCTACTCAACTTATTTCAAGATGTCTCAGATACTATTATATAGAAAATACAAGTTTCATTCACTACTCACACAAATGATTTGATACACTCTATAAACATCTATTCATAAAACACAGAACTAATATTGTTCATCAAATGATTTAAGTTAGCTTAAGAAGTGGGAATATCATCACCAAAACCATAATTTACAAAATTTCCCCTGCTCTATTATTTAAAAGTGAATTCCAGGGGCTCAGGAGACACTAACTCCCAGAGGAGGAGCTAATGGTTGCTGGGGAAGGGGAAGAAATTTTTTTTTTAGTGTTGCTCATGTCCCTCAGCCATACTCATGCAAACAATCATAATTAAACTTGTTGGATCACAAACATAAAAGACATGGAAGTAGAAGTAGTTTAGTTGATGGGAAAGGGATGGGAATCAATATGAGTGGAAAGGGGATGAGAGAGGGAATGGAAGGGAATATAAAAATATATACACATAAATGAAATGTCACAGTGAAACCTAATTATGGATAATTAATATATGCCAACAAAAACTAAAACATTAAAAAATCCCCATAACAAATAGGTTTATATAATGAAATTTACAATCGAGAAACAAGTTTTAACGTTTCTTCCAAATACTGAAAATTAACTCTTACATATCTAGAAATATTTACTGTCATAAAGTTCCTAATGAAAACCAACAAATAAAGCAAACAGTAAAAAAATGATACAGTTCAGAATTCATTGCTTTCTCCAGCAAACTTTTCCACGAGTAAAAGGAAGTCATATCAATCTAAGGAACAGGAGGCACATATAAGACACCAATTGCTGATACATAACACTAAGGAATAGGAGGCACATATGAGACATCAACTGTTGATACATAACATGCTGTAAATGCAGGATCTTTAAACACCAATAAAATCAACAAAGTAAGAGAAACTGGGTCCATGGGATAAAAGAAATGGTAGATTTGGTAAGAGAACATTCTTGGAAAAAATAAGTTGATGATGATAAAGCTTGATTGACTGAATCAAACTTCATTTTATACATCAACTTGTTCACGCTATGAACAGAATAGACTGCTTGGCTTCATTTAAACTCTCTTTTGAGGCAGGGTCTCATTCATAGTCCAGGCTGGTCTCAAACATGTATGTGCTATTTGCCTCAGCCTCCTCAGCACTGGGATTAAGGGATATACCCCAGACTCTGCCTGACCTTCTTTGAAATTATTGCTTCTTTGTTCATTATGTGTTAATTTTGTTTTTAAAAATTCTATGAAAATATTTATCTTGATTATTATGTGTTCTGATATGCCCTTAACAGTCTGACATTCCGCCAGTCCCTCTCTGGTCTTGGCATTAACAAGTATTACTAGAAAAAAGTGAAGGATAAAGGGTGAAAAACACTTTTCCTTCTTAAAGGAGGAAAAAGAAGACTTAATTCTTTTCTTTATTATGCTAGATGTCGGCATGCACATACCACAGAGCACTTGTGAGCAGACAACAACTTGCAGGAGTCACTTCTCCCTTTCCCCATGTATGTTCTAGGAACCAAACTCAGGTCATTATCAGGCTTGACAGCAAGTGCCTTTATATACTGAGCCATCTTGCCAGCCCAAGACAAGAAGTTCTTTAAAGTTAAAGCAACTTGAAATGAAAAGTAAAGCTGGTACAGTACAAGAAAAGCAAACAAACAAAAAACAGTTGGAGTAGCAATAAATTAGACTAAAACTCAAAGGCAGGGTAAACACTTAAAATATATATACATTAATAATATATTTCTATGCTACTGTCTTAGTCAGTACTCTATTGCTATGAAGAGGTGACATGACCACAGCAACTCTTTGTTGTTGTTTTCTGAGATGGGTTTTTCTGTAGCCTTAGTTGCCTTGAAACTTACTCTGTAGACCAGGCTGGCCTCAAACTCACATCCACCTGCCTCCTCCTCACCTGGGACACAGCAACTTTTATAGGAAAGCATTTAACTGGGGCTGACTTACAGGTTCAGAGGTTTAATTCATTATTGTCATGGCCGGAAGCACAAAAACAGACATGGTCCTAGAGAAGGAGAGTTCTACATCTGGACCAGCAGTTAGCAGGAAGAGCAAGACATGGCCTGACTTGAGCTTCTAAAAACTCAAAGACCATCCCCAGTGACACACTTCTTCCAACATGGCCACACCCACCAATAGTTCCACTCCCTAGGAGCCTATAGGGGTCATTTTCATTCCAAACATAACTACATCTGTATGTTTGGGTTAACACTGGACTGCATAATATTATAGTGGCCCTTAAAATTTAATAGAGCTAAAAAATCCCTATTACTTGGTGATGATGTAGCTGTGTGCATAGTGACATTAGGTAGTATTAACAAACCTTTGGTGCTTCCAATTATAAGATACAATGATGTAACAACATACAACACTTCACAAACAACTATGCTACTAGTTTATTATTTACTATACTCTACTTTCTATGTGTATGCACAAGTACATGTATGTCCGTATGAGTACCTGTGTGTATATATGCGGAGGCCAATTTGACATGGGGAATCTTTTCATTGCTCCCCACTTATATTTTCCAGTGCTGGTAATGAACCCAGGACCCAGCTTTTGGAGTCAAGTATGCTATCACTGAACTCTGCCCTAGCCCTTCCACCTTTTTTGGTTGTTTTTTGATAGTTTCTTACTGAAGCTGGAGTTCATGAACTGGCTAGGTTTGCTGGACAGTCAGTCCCTGGGGTTCTCTTGGTTCCACCTCTCAGAGCTGGGAATACAAGTATGTTCTGCCATGTACAGATTTTTGCATTGATGACAGGGATCTGAACTATATCAAGTCCTAATGTTGCACAACAAGCACTTGAGCCACTAAGCCATTTCCCTAGTTCTTGAATTATATTTCTCAATGTTAGTTTAGAATACTTCATCTACTTACTTTTTAAAAAAGGGTTACTAAAATAATATGCTATATTAAATGAGCAGTGGTCGAATGTATTATTTCCTAAGTCCCACAATGGATGGCATCTAGACTATACTGAGATGTTACCTATATCATTTAGATTTATGTAAGTACACTAGGATGTTCAGAGAAGGAAAATGTCATGAAGTAAGACAGTTCTCAAAATGGTGTTTGCTTAAGTAATGCATATCATTACTTAACAGTAGACAAAGGAGGAAAACTAAATACTTTTAATTGTTTTCAAAGATAAGAAATTTCCTAAAGGAAAAATATATATTAGACTAACATATATTATCAAAAATAACCTTCTAAGAATAGATACATAAACACAAGATAGTACAGAAGAAATTCATGGAATGGTGTAGGTCCCCAAAGCTGAAAATTTAGTTAGTATCTATTGAGGAAAAGATAAAAACAATCAAGGCAATTGATACACAATATGGGAAAAGTAAAGATATTAAAGCTATCAGAAATCCCTAAAGGTAAAATATGAATGGATCTGAAAATGGGACAAATAATATAGCCACTAAAAGACACTAATAGGAGCCTGCAACCCCATATGCCCATTCCAAACATTACCTCTGCTCCTATACAGGTACACCTACACAGGTGTGTCCATATATTACGTGATCACACACACACACACACACACACACACACACACACACACACAAAACACACAAAGATAAAATTATGTAATTTAATCTATAAGGGAATGAAGGGGTATGGCCTCCAGATGTCTCTTGCTGAACCCATAGCCTAGCCCAGGATCTCCTGCCTCTGCCTCTGGAATGCTGGGATTGCCATCAAGGTGGCCAACAAGCTTGCCTGGCTTTTATGTGGGTCCTGCAAATCCAAACTCCTGTTCTATACTATGTAGCCAAAAACATTACCTACTAAACCATCACACCAGCTTTTAAATCAAATACATTTAAACAGCACAGTGTGGCAGCATTTTGAAAGCAGCAGAAAGGTAAAGATAGAAAAAGTTTTGCCAGGCTTAGCACTAGCACAGCCATTCAGAAAGTTGATGTAGAAACATGTAAGTGGTGAATTACCAATATGTAACCAGATAAGATAAGAGTGTATTTTATTAGGAATATACCTTAGTAAGCAGTGCAAGCCAATGAAGTAGGGAAAAAGAAGGGGCTACCATGTGAGTCCCCTCACTCTTAAACTCCCTCACATCCCCTGACCACGCCCATTGTAGCCAGCCCCTAGGAGGCGTGGTTAGGGTGCTCCCTACAGAAACATCAGAGGTTCAAGGCCTTCCTGTGATACACAGTAAGTTCAAGGCCAGCACAGTATCTTATTAAGATCCTTCCACAAAGTAGAGAGATGGACTACTGTTAAGGGGTAGAACACTTGTCTAACATATGTGAAGCCCTAGTTTTTTGTTTTTTAAGAGAGAGGAAGAAGTCAGGAAGGAACAGGGGAAGGGAGAGGAAGGAGATAGGTAATATTAAAGATCCCTTTCTTGCTTCCCAGAAGGCCTAGAACCCATGCTCAAGATATGCTTCACAACTAATATAGTAAGTAACAGAGACTAAAAAAGCAGTTAGATCTTTGAAAAGAATGCAACAGGGCTGGAGAGATAGCTCAGTAGTTAAAAGCACTGGCAGCTCTTCCAAATGGCCTGGGTTCAATTCCCAGCACCCACATGGCAGTTCATAACTGTTTGTAAGTCTAGTTCCAGGAGATCTGGGATCCTCATACAGACATCATGCAGGCAAAAACACAATATACATAAAAAAATTAAAGAAGAAAAATCCAACAAAGCAAAGAAACAAATGGACTCCTTAAGGACATTGAAAGAGAAATAGAAGCAGCAATCAAGTAGAAAGCCCAACAGTATAGACTAGAATATATGACAAGAGGCTTTCAAAGGGATTTTTCTAGTGTGTAAAAAGTCACTTGGAAAGATTATAACCACTGAATTAT